GGCTGGCTCAACCGTTCTCTCGAAAAATAAGGCAGGTTTTAATTCCACAGCAGGTTTTTTGGTGGTAAAGAATTCTGTAACAAATCAACAAAAAGTCAAGGATTCAGTGCTTCTAACTAATGTGTCTGCCAGCCAAATATTTAAGACCCAAACGGAAGACATTTTCTTACCTGCTACTTTTGAGAAAAAGGATTTCGGTGTACGCATCTCACCACCAGATTTACTAGCCATGACACCTTTTCTCTGCATGCTCTCATAAAATATGTCTAGTAGATGCGGCTGGAAAATGATTATTTTAATTTCTCTCACCCCGGGGGCCGATGTTGTACTTGCATAGTCCACTACAGCATCAATCATGCTATCAGCTACCCTAACTGGATCGCGTTTTGCAATTCCTGCGGGGTGAATAAAAAGTGCATGTTTCAACCAAGTCTTTTATTTTACTAGTCAGTACTAAACCCCACCTTTCTTTGTGAAGGGAAAATTCTTCTAATATTGTACAATATCATGGAAATGTCAGCTAAAAATTCTCTACTGCTTTATTTTGGGTGGGAGGGGGAAGAATATTTTGACGCTCCAAATATTGGATTCCAATCCTTAACAGTTTTTTAAAAAATGGTTAATTATCAGAAATTTGGGAGAATTGCAATCCAAAAATGTCTGATTAAGGAAACAATAGATTCTTCCAGGTGATCACAAGTCTTAAAAAGGTATTGTTATTCTTTCTTGACAAGGTCTTCCCTTTAACCCAACATACCCAACCCATTCCCTTGACATTGTTATTGTTTTAACCATTTAGTCATTTAGTCAACTCTTAGTGTCTTCAAAATCAAGCGCTCTCCATGCTACCCTGTCAAACACTGTTTCTTTCAATTGTTGGTCAACTTTGTATCAGATCTGATGTTATCAAGCCAGCGTGTTCTCTGCTTGCCTCTTCTTCTTGTTCACCTAACCATACCTAGCATTGTTGCCTTCTCCAATGAATTTACACGCATGATATGGCCAAAGTAGATCAAAAGTAGTCTCATCGTTTTAGCCTCCAGTGATGTGTCTGGTTTTATACAACTTAATACCTCTCTGTTAGTTACTCTGACTGTCCAAGACACTTCCCTTGAAATAACCACCAACTATTGGCCTGCAACTTAGTTTTGAGTCCCACTCAATTTTCTAAATAGATTGAGGGGCCCAAATTTAAATTAGTTTTCAGCAGCCAAAACCCCAGCTCACAACTTAATATCCACAGTGATGCTATTTAGGATTATGATGCAACATGAGGTGATCCTACAACATTATTACTAGAACTTTTATTATGGCCCTTTCTACTTATACAATTTTTCACAAGGCAATACAGACCTGTCCCAATTGCTGGAAACACAACAGATGTAAACTGCCTCTGCTCGCATTCCATGAGTGTTTGAGAGACTTGATTTTTGATATCATCGCTGTGCACAAGATGGATTATATTTTTACAAGGCAGATTTCCTCCTCGAGTGCATATGAGGTTATTATGTGGCTGGGAAGCTGAATGAAAACAAAAGTCAGCTAGGAATCAAGCCAGGAATCAACAGGAATACAATTTCCATATATGAGAACAGCTGGATTATATATTGCAACAAATGTACAAATTAGTTTGCTTTTGGCTGAAAACGAAGAATAAACCCCAAAACTATGGGTTTATGGTTAGCAAGTATCAGCCAGAACAGTATGACTAGTTCAACAAATGGCCATTCAAACCAAGTGTGGTTTAGTCAATAGGTGGAATCAGTTTATGCTTCCTTTGTTACCTGCATAATCCATATCTGCAATTTCATTTTATTCTATTTACACATTTTTAAGTTAATGCAGTTCTAGGTAAATGTGATTGATATGAAACATTGTTCACAATGTTAATAACAATGTACAAACAATCCAATGTATTTGACTTTCCACAACTGTTTTAGAAGTATCTTGAAATTGATAAACAACCGATTAAGCCATAAAATCCTACTAAAAACATTGTCCTTACCCAGATCATTACATTCTTTCACCACTTGTGGACCAGCACCTTGCATAATTGCTTTGGAAACACCTTTTAAATAAATAAAGTCAGTTTGAGCAGATGAGATAAACATGCCTGGTCATATTTAAAGCTTACACTGAACAGAACAATCATTTCAATATGTGAAGCTCTGACTCCATCTTTTTTCTCTAAGGCAAGGACAACCTTTTTAAGTTCAGAGCCCAGAAAGACCCAAACATTAATTCCATTTATAGGGTTGGGAAAAAAGAGCCCCTTTGATGATAATCATACAGAAAAAGGGGAGAGAGTTTAATGAGGCCTGAACCAATTTCAAAACTCACAGGATTCAAAATGGAGGCTTTATGGTGAATTGCTCCTGAAGACCTCCTGTTGTCATAGAGGAAACCCTCTCCTTCAGAGATAATAAAGGAACATATGGATTCTTTGTCCATTGCTAATTATTTTGTGACTTTCTCTTAAAGTTTGCTTCTTTCTTTGTGCAGGAGAGATAAGGGGGAATTTGGCTCTCAGGAGTGGAAGGGAGATCTCTACCCAGGCCTCAGGAAACAGGATGCAAATGGTCAGCATACAAGCTTCTCTATGAGAAGCCAGATCCTGAAATATCAAGACTTCATGTAGACAAAAGAAAACAGTTCTTCACATACTGCGTAATTCACCTATGGACTTTTATTACTCCATGAAGTAATGATGGCTATTAATCTGGATAGAGGTTAACAAGGAATGGTTACACCTCAGGGGAACAGCTTTATCTGGGTTATTAATCTTGCAATTCAGTGATACCTCCACCTTGCCTCCAAATATTGCTACAGGAAGGGTTATGTATAAATATTGGGGCAAAATGAGCCTTGACATAATTCAGCATGGCTGTTCCTATAAATGATAGTTCCCCACCTTTGAGGTACCTGCATCACTTACTAATAATGCAGCTGAAATAAGAAAAAAGGCTACCACTTGCTTAACTATAGTATCAGGGACCAGAATTTCCATCACTAAGCAATGGGAGCAGTGGTACGATTCAACCGGTGTACTCTACATTTTAAAAAGCTCATTTTCAACTTAATTACTTACCTTCTACTGCAGCCCCTGGGACTGGAACCGCTGACGCGCGGTAAACTGCTCTGCTGCACAAATCAGCTGTGCTAAAAATCCAGGCAATAAAGCACAGGAAAGAGCAGGGGCAGGTAGGCAGGGCCAAATGCTCACTGGAACTACCGGTTCGAACCGGTAGAATCTCACACCTGAATGGGGATCCTAACATGCAACATCCTCTGACCGCATCCCGGCATTCCCGGTTACCATTGTTAAGCCAGGATCACAAGCCGTTAAGCAAGTCCCAGCCAGCTTGCAAGCGGGTATGTTGCTGCTGAGCAGGTGAAGGGTGTGCTGGAGGTCGACCTGAATGTGGAGGGGCCAGTGGTGGCTGCTGCCAGAAAGGAGGTGGTGTTAAGTGACCTACAAGCATGACTTATGACCTTCCCTGCCAGCTTTCCCATTGGCTTTGATTATAGGAAGTTGGCAGGGAAGATTGCAAATGGCAGTCGTGATCGAGGAATGTTCTAACCATGGTAAAAGTGAGCCAGCTGTTGAGTGTCCAGATTGTGATCATGGGGTTGCAGGAGTACTGAGATGGCTGGAACTCCATGGACTGGTCCTAAGTACTCATTCAGTGCCCCCACTCCGAATGGTTGTTGAACGAGTGGTCACTGAATGAGGACTATCCGTACAACCATAGTAAGTCCTTTGACATGAGATGAGTGATTCTTTTCAGCAGATTATTACTTTTTAAAAATAATGTTACCCTCCTGTACCACACCCACCAAAACTGGACCATCTAGCACGCTTCTTAACTCCAGCAAACAAAAGGAAACAAGCTAGAGAACAAGTGCCTAATTTTATGACAAAATTTGAGGCAGGACACCTATAGTGTTGAAAAACATACCATTTCTGAGATTAAACGTTTGATTAGTTATGTTTACGATGGCATCTGTCTTCTGTTTAGTAATATCTCCCTCTTCCAGCTGCAACTCAACTGAGCCAATTTGCATTTTAAGAATTCCATATTTTAGAGCTGAACTCGGCTCAAAGAAAGCTATAAAAAGGTAAAAAAAGAAGTTGAGACAGACAAATCCATTTATTCTATATTCCTGCCTCCCAACATCTGTGACTGCATAATTTTTATCCTACACTTCCCTATAAATGTCTCTCTCTATACTGAGTTCATTAATTCAATATAGTTTCAACTGATAGTCAAAAGCGCTGGGCTAGATGACAAAATCTTAGATTTAATTAAAATTTTAATAAAAGTTGTCCGATTTAAACATCACTTAATTTAGGGCATGAGTATTACAACATTTTCTTGGCTCTGAAGTGCCCTGATAGGCACCGTATCCTAAAAACTAACAGTAAAATATGTAGCTACCCTGCATTTGCACTTAATTGCTCTAAATCGAATAAAATTAACTGAATTTCACTATGGTTAGACATTTAATAATTTTCTTCTGCATATGAATAGTCTTTGGATAATCTCTGGCAATCTCTGAGATGAAGCCTCCCAGGTGTTCATGTGTGGCTCAAGGCCTTGAATTGTGGCCATGGCTTTTGGCGTAATATAAACCAGCAAGAACAGACTTCTGGCTTATGTGACCTTGCCTCCTTTTCATCCTCTTTATCTACTGTTGCTGAAGCCACAACTATTGGAAACACCTGCATTCTGTCTTTAAACTCCAAGCTACTAGCTCATGTCCAAAATAGGCTCCTATCTCAGAAGTGAAACAAGTAGGTCATTAGAAGAGCAAGAATCTGAGAGGCCTCTAAAGATATGAGAGGAGACAGCTGCACAACCCTCCAAAGAGCTGCTTTGATTTGATGACTCATCCCATCTGCCCCCAGCCTACTGCATGCGCGCATGCGTGCACACACACACACACACACACACACACACACACACACACACAGAGTCATCATTAAGAGGGAGGAGAAGCAACTGTGTTCTGCTCTGCTGTGCAACCCTATCCTAGCATCCTGAAAATTGTTCCTCTGCAGCCCCTGTATCAAAGCCTCTTCCAGGAGCAGCGCAGGCTTCTATGGCGTGAAAATGTCTGATCCCTCACATTCTCCTGAGCAGGGGTCTCCAACCATGGCAACTTTAAGACTTTGCTGGCTGAGGAATTCTGGGAATTGAAGTCCACAAGTCTTAAAGCCGCCAAGGTAGGGAGACCCCTGCTCCAGAGTACCCAGTGACACTGGAATACAAACAGTCCTTGATTTACGAACATAATTGAGCCCGCAACATCGGTCATAAGCTGTGACGGTCCTAAAGAGGGGTCATCGTGTGACTGTCCCCAGTTTTTATTATCTTTTTTTGCAAGTCGTTGTTTAAGCACACTCATTATTTGCCATGGAACGACCGTGCCAAAAAAAAAAAAAAAACACAGTCGTGTACTGCAAATGGCCGTAAATATGAGGCTGTTGCCAAACACCCTAAATGTGGCCACATGATGGTGGTGGGTCTCAAATCCAGGCTGTAAGTAGCTTTTTCAGAGTTGTAACTTCAAACGGTCATTAAGCAACTGGTCATAAGTTGAGTCTACCATGGTAGGTATCCCTAATTTTGGCAAGGGACAGGCAGGGGACATGTTTGAAGAGGATCTAAAACAGCTACCTCCAACCTTTTGGGCACCAGGGGCCAGTTCCACGGAGGGATTTTTCTGCGGACCAGAAGGGCCATGGTTTTGTGTGCTGACTGCATCCTGTGAATGGGGCTTCCCTTGTTTGCATGGCCCAATTTTTGGCATACCATGGCCCGTTGATGGTCCACGGACCAGGGATTGGAGACCCTTGATCTAAAGTGTTCCAAGGATGTAAAATTGGATGTATCTTTTCTGCCATATGGAGAATCGCACCTCCTCTATAGCACGAAGCTCTCTTGTCAAGGCAAAGCTAACTCTTCTTGTACAGAATAGAAGACAATAAAATATCCTTTCTTTCCTCAGACCTTATTAGTCTTTTTTGTTTTACTCCAGTTAAGGCTTTACAATACTCTGGTTCACTATGTTTTATTCTTTCTCATTTTTCACAAAAGATTTCTATTTCTTAATTACACATGCACTGATGATGTTACCTAGTTTGGTAGTGAAACGTCTGCTAAGAAACAACAACAACAACAAACCCACCAAGCTCAGAGACCTCCAAAGACCCACAATTAAGTTTTACCTTGACTTCCCTGCTGAAAATTCTCAGATGAAGCTTTGGACACTGAGGAGCTTGTTTGGCTTACACTCAGCCTACTGTTTAATTCATCCATGAACGCCTAATAAGAAAACGGGGAAACACAATTAACAAGACTACAAAGGCAAGTGCAAATTAGAGATAGAGCTTCACAACACATAGGCAGAAATTAAATGGTGGAGTGGGGGAGCAGAGGTGGCATTCAGCAGGTTCTGACCAGTTCTGGAGAACCGGTAGCAGAAATTTTGAGTAGTTTGGAGAACCAGCAAATACCACCTCTGACTGGAGATTTTACAATATCCTTCCTCTGCTATGCCACCAAGCCACGCCCACAGAACCAGTAGTAAAAAAATTTGAATCCCACCACTGGGGGGGATGGGTTGTACATGCATAGAATTGAAGACAGCCAGAATCAGCTTATTATCACTACTATTTGGTTTCTTTTTTCCTACTATTTTTATTTGGAATTGCAATTGGTTATTTCACAAGTGGATTACGGTCTAGAAGAACCTGAAGATTTTGAATTGTCTGAAATGAGTAGGAAACTAACAGCCCCTGGTTCCTCAACTTCTACTTCTTCACCATCTGGAGGACAACGTTCAATACAGACAATGTTACAACAAGAAAAAGAACAGGAAAAAGTGGTCCTGCAGATGATTATGCAAGGAATTCAAAATATTCAAAGAAGAACAGAGAATACTGAAAAGAGAACAGAGAACATTGAACCAAGAACAGGGAAAACTGATGAAAAGGTGAAGAACATTCAACAAATTATGATGATTCCAAAAAATTGAAGAAGATAAACAAAGAGATAAGAAGATTGGAGACATTATTAGCAGATTAACTGTAGTTGAACAAGATAAAAGTGGGATGCGGAGATGGGAGATGGACAGATCAGAATTTTATCTCAGATTCCAAAACAGAGGAAGAAAAGGGACAAAACCTAGCTGAGATAATGATAGAAATTTTGGCTGAAGCTTTGGAAATAACTGAAAAGAAGATGATGGATGGAATAGATGAGGTCTATCGAGTCTTCACAAGATATGCAATGAGAAATAGCTTACCAAGAGAAGTTCACATCAGATTTACAAAGAAAGCCATTAAATGCAAAGTGGCAAGAGAGAAAACATTGAAATATAAAGGAGACTATGGTTCTGAAACAAGTACCCAGAAGAGTGAGAGAGATGAGAAGAGAATACTGATTTCTGACCAAAATGCTACTTAAAAAAGAGGTAAATTATAGATGGCTGATTCCAGAAGGTTTAATGTTCACCTGGCAAGAACAGAGACATAGAATTGACTCAGTTGAGAAAGCTGAATCATTTTACACAGAATTTTTTGGAGGGAAAGAAGAAGAGGCAGAAAAAGAAATCTCACTAATTGAATACCAAGAGGACTGCCAAATGGCGATTAAAAAAGAAGAAGGTGCAGTAGGTGGAAAGGTGGAAGCCAAAGAACAACGTGAACCAAGATCTACGAGAGCTGCTAAACCTAACTACAAAATATAACCATGGAAGAGAAAAAACTGACTACAATTAATATAAATGGACTTAACTCAGCTGTTAAAAGGAAATTTTTCCATAAATTAGAGAAATTAAAATTTGATACAATCTGCCTACAAGAAGTACATATCAAAAAGCAACATGAACAATTGTTGATACAGCCAAAGTTAGGGAAAATATTTACTTCTTTGACACAATGCAAGAAAAGAGTGGCTTTATACATTAAAGATATTATCCCAGCGAAATTGATCTATACTGATGACGATGGAAGAATACTAATGGTGGAAATAATGGACAATAATATGAAAACACTCCTGATTGCAATCTATGCCCTGAATGACAATCAAGAATTTTATTAAAAATTACACATGAAAATAATTGAACTGGACTATGCTAATATAGTTATGATGGGAGATTTTAATGGAATTGTAGATAACAAACTGGACTATACAGCACAGAAAACAATAAAGCAAAACAGAAAGACTCTCCCTAAATCTTTTTTTAAAATGGTAGATGAAATAAACTTAAAAGATACATGGAGAGAAAGAAATGCTAAAGCCAAACAATACACCTTCTACTCAAATAGACATTTATCATGATTCAGAATAGATATGATATGGATGTCAACAGAATTGTTAGCTAATATTCAAGAAATAAATATTGAAACAAGTACTTGGGCAGATCACAATCCAATGACAATTAAATGGAAAGGACAAAGAAGATCTAGATATTAAAGGAAAAAGACTTCACACAGTGGATGGAGAAAGAACTGGCTTTCTTCTTTAGAGAAAACAAAAAAGAAGATACATCAATTCAGAATGTATGGGATACAATGAAGGCATATGCCAGAGGCTTGATAATAGATGATACAAGGAAAAGAAATACCATGAAAAAACTAGCCTCTAAGGCATTAGAGGATGAGTATAAAGGACTTGAAAAAGAGCTACAGAAAATGCCACAGAAAAAGGACATTAAGTTAAAAATGGATATATTCAAACATAAAATGTGTCTAATAGAAAAAGAAGAATTAGCACAGAAAATCAGAGGTGCTAAACAGAACTACTTTGAAGATGCAAACAAACCAGGTAGATGGTTAGCAAATAAACTGAGAAAGGAGAAAGAATCAAGGAAAATATTGCAATTAATAGATGACCAAGGCCAAGTTTGCTATGGTAGTAAAGAGAAGAAGGAAATCATACGAGACTATTATGGGAAACTATACACACAAGAGAATATTGATGAGGAAAGAGTTAAACAGTATTTACAGAATGCTAATTTACCTCAGATACCTAAAGAGATTGAAGCAATGTTAGAAAGCAATATAACGATGATGGCGTTAACTGAAGCACTCAAGAAGCAAAACAATGGAAAGGCACCAGCCCAGATGGACTTCCAGCAGAATTTTATAAAACATTACAAGAATCGTTGAACCTTCCACTGCTAGAAGTTATGAATGAAGTTATATTAAAGAAGATACCTAAATCATGGTCAGAAGCTTATATTATACACTTGTCCCAAAAGAGGAGGCCGATCCGTTACAAATCAAGAACTATAGACCTATTTCCTTACTAAACGCAGATTATAAATTTTTTGCTTCAATATTGGCAGAAAGACTTAAAAAATATTTAAACAATTTTATCCATCCTGATCAAAATTGATTTCTGCCAAAGAGACAAATTAAAGATAATATGAGAATAATCTTGGATACTTTGGAATACTACGAGGCAAAACAAATGGCTTTGATATTTCTAGATGCACAGAAGGCATTTGATAATGTGAATTGGTGATTCATGTTATTACAACTGGAACAGATGGGCTTTGCTAAAAATTTATCCAAGCCATAGAAGCTATATACCATAAGCAAATGGCAAAGGTAATGAAAGAGGGAGAACTGACAGATTCTATTGATATAAGAAAATGAGTGCCCACTATCACCTCTGTTGTTTGTGTTAACCTTGAAAGTGCTAAACAGAAATATTAGAGAAGAAAAGGATATAAAAGGGATGAAAATTAAAAAGAAAGAATTTAAGTTGCAAGCATTTGCAGATGATCTGGTTTTCATTTTAGAAGACCCACTAGAAACAGCATCAAAATTGATAGAAAAGATAGAGGCATAAAGAAAGGTGGCTGGTTTGAAAATAAATAAAGATAAGACAAAGATCTTGACAAAGAATATGCTATCAAGGCAAAAGGAAGAACTGATAGATCTATTGAAAATTCAGGTCACAAATAAGATTAAGTACTTGGGGATACATTTGACAGCAAGATGCAGTACACTAAAAGAGAATAATTATATCAAACTTAAGCAGCAGATAGCGTTAGATTTGGCGAAATGGGAAAATTTACAGCTCTCATTAATAGGGAGAATATCAACAATCAAGATAATTATATTACCCAGAATTTTATATTTGTTCCAAACAATTCCAATTAGGCTTGGAAAAGATTACTTTGAAGATTTAAATAAAATTGTGTTGAAATATATATGGCAAGGTAAGAAAGCAAGAATAAAGCTAAAACTTTTGCAAGATGCTAGAATAAGAGGAGGATTTGGTTTGCCTAATTGGGAGTTGTACTACCAAGCTACAAATTTGATGTGGGTTAAGGAATGGATAACATTAAGAAATACATGATCTGTTGTTGGGGTGGCAAGCTTTACTATGGTATAAAGGAACGAGATCACAGGGGTATTTTAGAAGACATTATGTACGGGAGTCTGTGGTTAAACTGGGAGAAGATTAAAAGACAATGTTATTTGAAAATTCCAGTCTGGCTATTGACTATTGAAGCATTTTCTTATCCGATAATACATAAAAAGGAACAAACAGTTAGATATGGTAAAATATTGAATGAAAAGGGTGAACTTAAATCTATACAAAAATTAGAGGAACAAGGTATAAAGATGAATTGGTTTTCATATGCGCAAATACATTCAAGGTATGACAAAGACTCTAAAACGGAAGGTTTCTATGACAAACTGACTGATTTAGATAAGATTTTGACAGGTACTGATGAAAAAGTGATTAAAAAATTGTATGGATATATACTTGAAATTAAACTAGAAGAAGAACAAGTTAAAGAAATTATGATTGCTTGGGGGAAGAATTTTGGATATGAGATTGATCTAGAGAAATGGCAAAAATTGTGGTCTCAAAATTATAAAATGACAATGTCAACAGCATATAAAGAAAATTCGTATAAGATGTTTTACAGGTGGCATACCATCACCGGAGGAAATCATTAAGAAAATATTGGAATGTGCTGAAATGAGTAGATTGACATTTGAAATCAGAGAGCAAGATGATAAACAATTTTATAAAATTTGGGATCTATTCTATCAATGGTTAGACAATAAAACTTGGTAATGAAATATGTAGTTACTTAGAAAATAATAAATATATAAAGAGGTATTCTTTTATTATTATATCTACAAAATGATTGTAGGATAGGTTTGAGATGATATGAACTGTCATAAAACAATTTAAGTTAAATATGATTATTTCGTAAAATATGAATGAATAGTCAAATGATATTAATGTATTTAATACTTGATTGAAAATATGAGAATATATACAATGTAATTGTAATTGAAGACTATGAAATGGAAGCACAACACAATTTGTAAACCAACTGGCACACTGTATGTATATATATGGAAGATGGCTTGATGTTTTTATGTTTTGTTTGTCTATGTTCGTTTTAAAAACCAATAAAAATTAAAAAAAATATGAATCCCTCCACGGGGGGGGAGGGGGTATACATGCACAGAATTGCAGACAGCCAGAATCAGCTTTTGAAGCTGCTAAAGAGACTATGAAGAGGATCCAGTTATTTTAATAACCTGTAAAGAGGTACATGGTTTGCATTCCTGCAAAGTCACTTATTTGACTGCTTTGTACAGCTCTAGTACCATTAGATCTTTTTCTTAGAACTGTGACCAGATGGTTAAAAGGAACAGCCCAAAGAGGGGAGGGGGGAAATAAGCAATGTAAGGCAAATTGCAAAAAAAAAAAAAAAAAGAGAGAGAGAGAGATGAAAATTGAAGTGGAATTGCTTTCTACCCAAAACAGAATTTTATTAAAGCAGATTCTCCAAAGCCAACCTCTACTGTGTTATCAGACACTAAATGTCCAAGACTGTTAAGCAACGGTTTAAAAAAAATTATGTTTTTTGAGACAGGCATGAGACAAGCTAAGAAAGTCTGATAATGTTGTCAGCAGAATCAGGATCTTCTGGAGCCACATTTTGGGTGCAACACTTTTCAAAGAAACTGCAGCGAAATAAAAAAAAAAATACCTGGGTGGTGGCAGCATCACTGGAATGAAGCACAAAATGAACTTCTTTAAGGGACTTTGGATTTTCAGCTTGACTGAACTTGAAAACTTCATCAAAAAAGAGTTTGGCCACATACTGCTTGGGATATCCGAGATTTCCAGTTCCAATAGCTGGGAAGGTGATGGAACTCAGAGAGAGCTGTTCAGTGACTTTCAGACATTCCTTAATTATGTTCCGTAAGTCCTGGGGGATCACAGAACAAAATTCTCTTAGAATATTTTTTTAAATGATTAGTCTACAATGAACTATGCCTTGGCGTTAATTCTACTAATGGTATGAATAAAAACAAATTGGAACATGAATATAGCTGCGTTAATCGGGCAAAAGGATGTGTCTATCAGTTAATTTGCCAGCACATTGTGCTATCATGCTGGACTATCCCAAGCCAATAGACAGTAGACACCCAAAGCCAAGTGGATGAAAATAGATACAGGTTGTTCCCAACTTACGATCACAACTTGCTAATTGAGAAATTCGTTAAGTGTGTTTTGCCCCATTTTACGATTTTTCTTCCCGCAGATGTTAAATGAAATCACTGCAGTTGTTAAATAAATAACATGGTTGTTAAGTGAATCTGGCTTCCCCACTGTCTTTGCTTGTCAGAAGGTCGCAAATGGAGATCCCGTCATCCCAGGACACTGAAACCGTCATAAATGTGAGACAGTTGCCAAGCATCCAAATGTAAACCACGTAACCATGGGGACGCTGCAATGGTCAAAAGGGTGGAAAATGGTCGTAAGTCCCCTTTTTCAGTGCTCTTGCGACTTTGAACTGTCACTGAACAAACTGTTGTAAGTCGAGGACTACCTAGATCTAGGAAAAGTTCTCTACAATTTTTCTTAGTCACGACATTTATTTTCTTCTTCGTGGTCACTTAGGTTAAAAGGGAAGCCACCAATTCCTAGTAAATAATGAAACCCGAGTAGTGAAAGGTAGGATATAACCAACGATGAGTAAAGGACCTTTAACCTTTGCTTAAAAGCCTACTCACTTCCTGTTTCCAGGAAGCCCTTGCTTACCGAATGTCTTGTTTAGCGACTGTTTCAAAATATGGCAGTGTGGAACAAAGTAACCTTGTGACCATTCCTCAATCTTACAACAGTTGCTGTGTCCCCACAGTTACGTGACAGATTCGGGGGTTTCACAACGGATGGGCATTTATAGTAGACTTATATACCGCTTCATAGTGATTTACAGCCTTCCTGGCTCTGCGAACCAGTGAGGAGGGGGAGAGAAGATGGTGCCATGCAAGCAGCAGGTGTGCATGCTCCTGTGTGCCGCTCCATTTGCACAAGCGGTAGGTAGGCACACACGCCGCTCACACAAAGTACCCGCCACAGGTGCAAATGGAGCTGCATTCGCCTGTTGCTGTACGTGGCCCAATTCCAAACAGGCCACAGCCCAGAGTTTGGGGACGACCTGCACACAAATACATTCTCACTGCAGTAGCACCACTGAACAGTTCTGCAAAAATGCATCAAAGGCTATCAAAATTTCTAGGGAAGAAGATCAGGGATAAGTGCACCTAGTTATGTATCCAAGGTATCGAAAAGACCCTTTACCTTGTTTTCTGATTTCTTTCTTTGATTCCAAGCAGGTAAAACAGCATGAAGAACGTGAAGGCAGCTCAGGTCATAGCCACTAGTTTTGAGCACACAGCCTTCCTTGATGTCTTTCCCTTGACCTTCTTGGGTCAACTCCACTTGGAGTTCTCCTCCTGCTTTAGCCAGAAGAGCCTTGGAAAGTGGTCCTTTGTCCAGCTGCAAATCTCTGGCGACACTATTGACAATCACATCGGTCTAAAAATGACACGTTGGAATAGGTGATTAAAACTGAAGGGACTCAAACCTGCACTAACCTGACAAAACACAGGCACACTCCAATATTATGCATAACTAAAAATATCTAATCATAACTGTGATATTCAACAGGCATCTCTGAACCTTTTATCATTCAACAGGGAGATTGTCTTCCAATGATATGAATTGTCATCCACCTACCTCCCTACCTACCTATATTTGCTGTAAAGTATACAGCCATTCCCATTTTTTACTCCCACCACAGATTCAAATATACGGTCCTATATACCATTTTACTAGCAGCTTACATCCGAAGATCTTTTTCGTAAATAGGTGGAGATTGTTGGAATTAAAAGAACAAGAGTGACAAGTTGTGTTGTGCAGCATTAGCCCTCAAAAAAGGATACAAAGAATGAGACCTCAAGGGCATGTAGAAGATCTTAGATTTTAATTGTCTCTTTGAATTAATATGTAGTACTATATCATTCTGAATACGTTTTGTACACAAGTGTTTGCCCTGCAGTTTGTCAAGGTTCTTCTCCATCTTCCTTCCTGCTTTCTCATATTTCTGGAACATTATTGCCTGCTTAACTATAAGCTCACTATTAATCCTGGCTTGTTCCATTAAAAAAACAAAAACCCATGTGTATGTACTTTAATTAAAGGTGGCCACATTAATCACACATATCTCAATTCTATATTAAAATAACTATAGTCTACTTACCGCTGCCTCTTCAATCCCTTTCTTCAGAAGCACAATTTTTAAGCCTTCAGCTGTCATCAACATTTCCGGTTCTGGTTGGATTTTTGCCACAGAACGCTTAGCTTCGGGAAATGGGTCGGCTGTAGAAAGTGAGGGCCCAAACACTTCATTCAGGGTTTCAGAAAAAGCTTGAACAGTATCATCTCTGATATCCATAAGGTAAATCTGTTTTAGGCAACTGTTCTCAGAAAAATCGTCTAAGCTTTCTTTGACGGCTGTTACAATGGAACGGGTACACTCTTTTAATGGAAATCCAAAAATCCCAGAACTTATGGCAGGGATAGCTATGGAGCGATGCTGGCAGCGGTCTGCAAGCTTTAAACTTTCCCTCACAGATTGTTTTAACAGCTTTATGCATTTTTCTTTTTCGGCACTCTGCCACCTTGGCCCAACAGCATGAATCACCTGTTTACATGGCAGCTTCCAAGCATTTGTGATTATTGCACAGCCAGGCTTCAAAGAGCCACGTTGCCTCACTAGATCCTTACACTCTTTTTGGAGCTCTGGACCTGCTGCTTCCAGCAGCCTACTTGCGAGACCACCAATGTGCATCAAATCTACATTTGATGCGTTGACTACAACATCAGCCGAACACTGGGTCAGGTCAGCTTTCTGAAGAACTACCAGAATGCCGTTTCCTAGCTTCACTTTATAGCACGGCTGCTGTTCCTCTCCATAGCTGTTCCCTTCTGCTCCAGTTTCTTCCACCTCTTCTGTGCCTTCCTGAATCCTGATCAAACAGTTAAACCTCTGTCTCGCACCATTAATGTACAACTCTTCTTGTTCTTTGAAGAATGACTTTGCCCCTGGTTTATCAATGGCTATGCTAATAGCATGGAGAGAAGACAGAATGTTATGAAAAAGTTCAACTCCCTTCAGAACTGCAACTCTGGGTCCTTCAAGGGAAATCACTTTACGACTTCTCAATATACCAAAATGTATTTTTACACCTTGTCCATTTAAATTGTTCCACTTTGGGCTCTTTTCCTGTTGTATATACATTACAACAGCAGCAGACTTAGTTTTGATATTTCTCTGAATGTATGTATGGTTGTCAACAAAATCAGAGAGTTTCTGATGGGCGGTGGCCACTTCTTTGAAATAACCTGCAATGACTATTTTACCTTCCTGTTCTTCAATTAAGATGGTTTCACCCGAACAATTGTACTTCTTGTACAACTGCTCCGTTAGTTCCTGCCATTCATTCTTTTTTGTAACCGAGCAGTCTTCCAGTTCAATACTTTGGAAAGTCAGATCTTTCTTGAGCTCCTCCTCAGCTCTGTGAAGGTCCTGAGGAATTCCTCCAAACAGTAGTACAGACTTATCACTGAGTTCATAGTAGGCATTTATCATTTTGGTCCAGAATAGGAGCCGAGACAGAGACTCATTATCAACATGTTGAAGAAAAACAAAAATATTAGAATGTATATCAACAGGCTTCTGAACCATGCTGGACATTCTTTCAAGGATGTCACTTTTTAGTTTAAAAACTTCAGCAGGTAGGCCATGCAGAGTTATACGTTCTTTGGAAGCATCGTAAGTAATCTTTAGCTCTGGATATGCTAAGCAAAGATTCTCTTGTAATCCACAATTGCATAAAATGGCATATTTGCAAGCAGTAATCGATATGGTTTCCTCTATTGTCGATCTCTCTCTTTCCATCTTTCTAAGAACATTTTCTATGAGCATATTCATTTCCTCCTCTGCTTCCTTTACACTGCCCGCTGCCCCCACCAAAATCACTTCTCTCTTTGAAGCATCTGTTACGATTAATATGTCATCTTTTACTAGACTGTTTCTTATGGCTTCCCACAATTCAGAATTTATTTCACGCCTGACAACTTTCTGCCGTGACAGGATCTGTGTAAGAACGGTTAAGGCGTCTTCTTTCCAGGTCTTAATCGAGGATCGTTTTCTCTTTGACACGTCAAGGGAAGGATGTACCATGATTTCCGGATTTCCGCAGACTTCAGAAGGCCATTTGATCTCACAACAATGGCCCGCCATTTCGAGTGTTATTTCCTGAAGTAAATAGTTCTGCTGTAGAAATCTCCAGTGGTAGGGGTCAATAGACACAGAGAATGGATCTGGCACCTTAATTTGTAGTCTTTCTTTCCCATACAGGGCAGCTCCCAAAGATTTGTAGTACGGATAAACAGAAACAGGGCCATTCATAAGAGAATGCTTTCGCTGCAAGATGGTAGCTACAACTTTAAAAAAATAACAAGGAGATGAAAATTAGAAAAAAAGCTTCACCGAACCTATCCTGCAACTTTTACTTAAAATACATTTGAATTTATTGTAGGGCACACTGAGCAATTGTAACAGTAAGCTTTCTACAGTTCTAAACCCTCCATCCTCTTTCAGAAAGAGGACATTGGTATGGGTTTGGGGAAAAAGAGTTAAAAGTATCATTGTTTGTCCCCACACAGGTAAATTATTGGCTAGATGGCAACTGCCCCAAAGCCCTGTGGAAAACTGGAATTTAGGAAGTTAAAGTTGGCAAGGAAAACAGGAGCATCATAGGTGTTTGATTTCCTTCCCATGTTTCTTTGCCCAGATGGGGAACCTCATCCTGTCTGTTTTCGTATCTTACAGCTAGCTTGCTTGCTTGGCTTGTCTGTTTACAACTTAATGGCTGCCACTTAGATCTAAGCTCCCTGCTGTCTTGTTTCTGAAGTACTGACCTTGCTGTAGATAATAAAATAAACATTATTTATTCCTTGTTTGGAGTGTCAGGTGTATACCAGATACTCCAAAATCACTTGGGCCTGATAAGCCTAATTAGAAAAGAAACCTGAATCCATGTATTTGTTCTGCCCTATTCAGATTCCAACTCTTGGAGACACATTCCCATTGAAGAAGGAGGTGGTGGCAATTTACACTCAAATATAGGTAGTCCTCAACTTACAATAATTCACTGAGTGACGTTCGAAGTTGCAACAGCACTGACAAATGATGTATGACCATTTTTCACACTTACGACCATTGCAGCATCCCCATGGTCAGTAGTCAAAATTCAGACACCTGGCAACCGGCTCATATTTATGATGGTTGCAATGTCCCAGGGCCATGTGATCACCTTTTTGTGACCTTCTGACAAGCAATCATTGGGGAAGGCAGATTCATTTAACAACTGCAGTGATTCACTTAACAACTGTGGCAAGGAAAATCGTAAAATAGCGCAAAACTCACTTAGCAACTGACTTGCCTCACAACAAAAATTTTGGCCTCAATTGTGGCCATTAAGTCAAGGACTACCTTGTAGCCCAGAACTCAGGTAGAGAGATGGAGGGTACAGATCAAGAATGGATCAGCAGGCTTGGTAGTCTTTCAGATAAAGTAATTATGAATCAAGATGTGGGTTTTGTAAAGGAAAAAGAATTGGGAATTTTTCCCATCCAAATCAGTACGATTCCAAATATGACAACTGTCTCTCTCTGTTATTTCCTTGCTGCTGCTTCCTTCTTCTCTTATCCAATTACTGGAACCAGTCAAGGACAGCCAGTATCTCCCTTTCTATTTTCACAACAACTCCCTGTAAAACAACCACCATAAAACTTTACAGCTGTCAAACATCCCTGAATTGGAAAGTACTGACCTTGGAAAAATGTCTGGCCCAGAAATCACTGATTAAGAAGAACCAAAAACAAAATCCACCTGTGCTGGATTCAACAAAAGGCCTGCCTAGTCTATTTTTCTATTGCCACAAGGATCCATAAACAAAAGATAAAATTATGTCTTCCTCCCAGTTGTTAGCCAGCATATGTCTTGAAAGAGACCAACTGTTTCTTAAACAGGAAGCGATACATTCACAGAGGAATACAATCAAGATCAAATGAGGTACTAATACCACTCTATAAAGCCTTAGTAAGGCCACATCTAGAGTACTGCATCCAGTTTTGGTCACCACACTATAAAAAAGACATTAAGACTCTAGAAAAAGTACAGAGAAGAGCAACCAGGATGATTAGGGGACTGGAGACTAAAACATATGAAGAACGGTGACAGGAACTGGGCATGACTAGTCTAATGAAAAGAAGGACCAGGAGAGACATGATAGCAGTCTTCCAATATTTCAGGGGCTGCCACAGAAAGGAAGGAGTCAAGCTATTTTCTAAAGCACCCGAAGGTCAGACAAGGAATAATGGATGGAAACTGAACAAGGAGAGATTTAACTTGGAAATAAGGATAAACTTTCCGACAGTGAATCAACCAACAGAACAGCTTGCCCTGGGAAGTTGTGGGAGCATCATCACTTGAGACTTTTAAGAAGAGACTGGACTGCCATTTGTCAGAAATGGTGTAGGGTCTCCCACTTGGGCAGGGGTTTGGACTAGATGACCTACAAGTTCCCTTCCAACTCTGATTATCTGTTAGACTGTTAAATGTGCCCAATAGCTCTTGGTTCCATCACTACACATTAAAATATACATCAGGCCCAAAAATAATTGGATCCTAACTGCCTTTTGCATTCATCTGGTATTTGCACTGACCAAACTGAACTATATTTAATGAGTTTACAGCACCACGCATTACCTTTGCTCTCCTGAAATGTAATTATGGCAGAATTGTCTTCAGGAATGTAACTGATATCCAGCACCAGACCACCACCGTGCTTCTTGCTTTCAAAATAGATAATAATATAGTCTTTAGGAATTTCAGGGGAAATATTTTCAACCAAGATGCTTTTAGGCATTTCCAGAGTTCGAGCTGAAATCTTTTGTTGCTGAACCCTATGGTACTGGTTGAACGCTCTGATAAATTGGTTTGTTTCTGCAAACAAAATTGAAACATAAACAAAAAATTTTAGATAATATCACTGATTACTTAACCCCTGTTCATTCTATTTCTTCATGTAAAAGTTGCTATTTTAATCAGGCAAGTATGCTCAACTGCTGTCTACATAAAGTCCTAGACTTAGGACTGATTAGTTAATGACAGTTGAAAGCTACAACTGTCTCACACTCACCCGCAATCAGAGTTACAATCACATGACCATGGTTAGAAATCAGAATTTCCTGGATTCCCGGCCCTTAACCACTACATTAAAATACTAAGCACATAAGGCATAACACACATTTTTTCAACACGGAGAAGGATTTTCAACACCTCTGCACTTGTTTTCCCTCAAAAAGCAGAGCACCTCTGCTTTTTGGTTGAGTCTTGATGCTGAGATATGACTAGACTTTCAAAACTGCAAAAAGAGTCTTAATGGTCCTAAGTGACTTCTAGCCTGGGGAAGGTCTACCGTGGTCTTCTAATATAAAAGTGTAATTCTACACTGTATCTTTAGATTCCCCACTGAAGAGTTCTCTCTTCATTCGCTTTTCCTGTAAGAAAACAGAACTCTATGAGTCATAAAGAAAACGGAAACTCTATGAGGCAGTATTTTGTTATTTCCTTTTTAAGGATTATGGCTTAATCTATTGTTTCATTACATTTTACTGTTAAGCATTCAATGCACATTTGTAACTGCAATGTCAGCGTTCCAACTAACAACCTCCAAACCAATAAACTCCGAGACAAGCATTTCCTCAAAGTTCCATTTTATTAGAGTCGTCATATTGGCACATCTGGGAAAACCCGAATCTGAGAGTTCTGGGTTTTCCCTTCCCAAAAGAAAATAAAAAAATCCCTCCCCTGCACCCAGCAGTCCATCACATGGTCCTATCAAACATCGGCCCAACTGAAGACCTTCCTCCAAACAACCCCCTCCAGGTGCAGGGTAACATGGCCTTGACTTTCTGTGAAAAAACGTTGTTGAGTCTAATCTTCTACCTCTCTAAGAAAGCCCCCCTCCCAAATTCCGAGGCACTAAATTTGGCAGCTTCGAAGCTTCCAAATAAAATATGGCTTCCAAGGCTGACATGCAATCTGTTTTTCTTTTCAGTTTGGTTCACACGCACGTTTGCTTACAAACATGTACAAATATTTCCTTAAATTAGTGAAGCCCAAGAAACCAGTTTGGCTCAGATTCAGTCCAATAATCCATTTACCTCATTGTTTCATGCACTTATTGGTTACATCACTTCACAATTTCTCTCATAAACCTAACTTGAATGCTAACTATTGAACTTCAGAATTCCACACATGATAAAGTCCCACAAAGGCTACCAGATGGCGGCTGAAAAAAATCCAGACAGTCACTAGTTTTCTGAATCTTTCTATTGTATTCTATCCTCTGGGACCGGCTGGATTTTTGCCAACCAGATATGGCAGCCCTGTGTAACCAACAACCACAACCAGAACTAGAGTAAACAGAGCCACTTCCAAAATCATATACAGTAAGCACAATGGTTTAGATAACATTCATATATCTTCCAGTGAACGCTCCAATCCCCTTCAGAGAATCAAATCTTTCAGTGAGTAAACTATTTTGCATAAACTTTTTGGGAGTAAACAATGTCTGATTAACAGCGTAGCCAATCTTGGCCTGAGGCTTCTAACTTTTTACATTTGTGAATAAAGCACGAATGCTTATTCCTGATGTTTTATTAGAGAAGTACTGTAGAAAACCAGAGAGTGCCATCATTTAATAATGCAGAGGAAACTCTCACAGGACTGCCTGGAATTCAACTACTGCCTGCTTGTTTCTTCACTCTACCAATTCTAAGGAATATAAACTTAAACATCCATGCCATCTGTACAATCCAATGTGAATGCCTACTTTCCTTCTGTGTTATCTTTTAAAACTTTTATCTAAAAATTTTATATAAAACCTTTTAGTTTTAACTTCTTTAACCTTTACCTGTGTAAGAACTGATGATTTTAATGATTAAATCAGTCATGTCTTCCTAAAGCCCCAAAGCTCCTTCTTTTTTCCTACATCTTGCTTAATGAAAAGTTCTAAAGAATTATATGGCTATAAACAAGGTATGCAAGGCATGTTTATTAATTTCTTATTCCTGATGCTTTCTTACCAATGGGCTTGATAAAAGTGATGACAGCAGCATTGCACTCAGGCACCATTTCCATATCAAAATCCTTGTCTTCTTCTGAGAGGCCGCTCACAGTCTCTACCAACAGAATGAGCATGCACTCAATTGTAGTCTCCGGCACATTCTCAAGAGCCACTAGAGAAGATGATGGATTTTGACTCAGTTCCTGCTGGTATTTTTTGACATGAAGTGCAATTTTACTGATTTGGTGGCGATCTCTTTGCAAAACCTCTTGCGCATCTAGTTGAAGAGAAAGATAATTTTTTAAAAATCTAACATTCAAAAAAAACTATAGAAAAACATCTAACCAAAGTCTTCCACTCCCCCAAAACATTTACGTGTGTGTGTGTGTGTGTGTAGGCAAAAGAAAGCTCAGGTTGGAAACATGCAGAAGAGGTCTTCATCCTGTAGTGGATAGACAATGGCTAAAATGATGAGTGAGTGAGTGAGTGAAAGTGAAAGAGGGAGAGCGGGGGAGGGAGGAGAATTGTCTTCACTGTTCATTTGGGTTCACTTTGGTGATCAGATTTTAGGGAAGGTACGTACATTAAGATGACAGTACACTAAAGGAAGGTGTGAGGACAAAAATGTAGAAGCCACTGCTATAGACAGCAATGTTTGCAGAATGCCAAACTGTAAATGGCCTCCACCTTGGAAGATGATCAAATCTTGTGGGAACTCAACATCTTTTTATGAACTTGCATATAATAGGGGAAGTGAAATTTTGACTATTTTTTTAAGAACCCACGCTTTGTTCCAAGATCAGAAAATGCACCTCCCCAAATACTTGTGACATGATCTTCACAGCAAGAGCAAGGAAAGTAGAAATAGCCCATCTTTTCAAAATGGAGTATCTCACAGATAAAAGCTGTTATAGAAACTACCTGCTTCATTTTCAAAGGTGACGATGAATTGTTGTCCATCTTTAATGCAGGACTTCACGGGCCCTCCGCCAGAATGTTTCTTATTCTCAAAGTATAGCTCCAAGAAGTCAATCTGAATTTCCCTGCCTGCATCTGCTGTTACTACAATGCTGAATCCCTCCTGGATGGCCATTTTTCCTGCCTCCTTTTCTGCGTAATCTGAAACATCATAGGAACTGTGGTTTACACCTACACTATATAAAACGTAAACAAATACATTGTTTGATTTAGAAAGATCTTTCAGCAATGGTCACTTGGAGAAAAAGTTGCCCTGTTGGTGATGACTGGAGATCTGGCATTTGTTAAAACCAGTGACTTAATACCATAGCTGTCTTTCATTTAAGGGATAATGACCATTAAGAAATACACTATAGCAGTGGTTAACCTTTTCGGCACTGAGTGCTGAAACGTGCGCCTGGTCTTCCGGTTTCTAATGCGCATGCGTGCACAAAGATCAGCTGGTCAGCATGCATGTGTATGTGAAGACCAGCTGGCCAGCCGGAATCCGGAAGAGCAACAGGCAACGGCTGGCGTGCCTGGATTGATGGCTCCGCATGCCACTTCCGACACACATGGCATAGGTTGCCATCACGGCACTATACCAAACCAGCATTTCATTAGCAAGTGAAACCACAATTCAGTAATATCACTTACCAAGTTGATGGATTTCTTTAGCTACGACAGGCCTCTAAAGGTAAGGGAACAAATAAAACCATTAGAAAGACGACATATCAATTTCCTGATAATATTGTTCCTCGAGCTGACTTTATTCTTAGCACTAACGGTAGTAAGTGGCCCAAGTACATACTTATAAAGGCTTGGCAATCATATTGCTACACTGAGACATAATGCAGCTTGTGTGATTTTAATTCAGAAAGGGATGGGGGCCCAAATATTCTTGTAAGCCAATATAAGGCTTAGTGTTATTATTATTAAATTTTTATCTCCCACCCCCCTGTGTATGTATGTCTATCAGTCTGCCTGTCTGTCTGTAAGCAGCTATCATCCCTAATACTTTTGCTTCCTATTCCCCCCCACTCCCCCCCCCAAAACCCCAACAACAGACTGAGAGAGGGACTGGCTCAAAGCCACCCTGCTGGCTTTCATGTCTAAGGTGGGGGTGGGATGGGGGTTAGAATTCAGTCTTTCCTGGTTTCTAGGCCAAGACCTGAACCACTACACCAAACTAGTTCTCTGTTATATGCATAAGGCTACTACGGTTAGTTCTACAAACCATCATTAATGGTATATATGAACCAGCACAGCCATTGTCTCTAAAACAAATGTGCATGGAAGACACAAAGCACCGATTGTATCTATCTAATTGGACTATACTAGCATAGTGCACATACTTACCTGGCTTGGATCTTGTTCTTCCGGAGGCACATTGTTATTAGGTGCTACTTCTACTGAAGGCAATGAGACAGATAGCTTCAAAGGCTTCATTTCTGGCAGACTGGGTTCATGGCTCTTAATACGAAGGACTCTTTCTCTCACTGAAATGTAGAAAAGGATAGCTGTCATTTGATCTAGTTAATGTTATATAAAAAATGAGTATAAAATAAAAAAATGGGGTATTGGTTGGAATCCAGGAATTGAAAGCAAGCTGGTTTATATCAGAGTTCAATCAGTTAGGAAATTGCCTGAGATTTTGGGTTTACACAAGGTTGAATACAGCTATTTTCTATTTCCAATCTGTGGAAGCAGATAAGACTACATTCTGAGAGAACTTCAGTTGTTTAAACATTTTCTAGTTAGAAGGAACAGAAAATATTTACAACTACACCAACACACAAATGAATTCAAAATTCAATAATACTTCAGGATTACAGTTAACAACAGAATACTCTAGTATTAATATGTTTTCAATATACTGAGTCACGTAAACAGGCAATCCCTATTTTAGATTATACTGTAAAATGTGCCGGAATGGCAGTAAAAGTAAACATTAGCAGACTAAATACAATTCCTGGAATTCAGTTTTAATGTATTAGCAGCAAACAAATACAAGGAAATAAAAGAAAGGGCCCAAAGTATATAAACATCATCAGCATTCAAGTTTACTGTATTTTGATCAACTACATTTTTACATTTACATTTATTTCTCTTTATTATTTTTACAAATAACTCAGGAAGGCAAACATAGCCAATACACCTTATTTTCCCCACAACAGCAACCCTGTGAAGTGAGTTGAACTAACTGGCCCAAAGTCCCCCAAGCTGGCTTTCATGGCTAAAGCAACACTTGAACTCACAGTCTCCCACTTTCTAGCCTGGTGCCTGAAACAAATGCTCTTCCGACGACTATTATATCCTGGATTAAAGGGGGGGGGGAGCATGTAACAAATCTCAAGGTAAAGGTAAAAACTAAGTGTGCTTGGCCACGTTTAGAAACCGGTTTGGTGTCGTCTCCCTTGCTGTTTTGTCTATGGAGATTTTCAAGTCGTCCTGGTCCGTGGTCGACCCAAAAGGTGCTTTTTTTTCAAGAGGCAAATAGGATTTTCTTGTGTGTTTTTTTTTCTTTGAACCTGAGAGCTGAAGAAGATTCTATAGGAAGAGAAGCGAAACGTCTTCAAAGAAAAACAAGAAAAGCCCAGTTGCATCTTGGAAAATGAAATAGCACCTTTGGGACTACCTCACACTGTTTACTTCTCTTTCTAAGCGGCTTCTCTCCTGGGCGTTTCTCATCCAAGCCCTATGCTAGGGCTGCGTGAGTTTGTTGGACCAACTAACTAACTTTATTTATTTTATTTGTCAATTGCTTACAAGATAATAGGTATAAGTATGTACATAGTTACGAATACATGAAATGGGTACATATAAGAAAAATAAAAGAAACCATAGGACAGGGACGGTAGGCACGTTGGTGCGCTTATGCACGCCCCACTAATATTAGAATAGAATAGAATATCTTCCCGATATTCTTCCGAAAAGGCTCGTATCGTATATCTCTTCCCCGCCAGAAGCGACACCCAAACCTTCCACACCTACCCTCTTCCTGAGCGAAATACACCGTTATCTGCTCTCCTCTGTCGGGATCCACGAGGATCTTGCATTCCCCTCCTCCCGATCGCTTGGGGCTTTGGAAGTAACAAAGGAGCTTGTTCTTCAGAGATTTGCTCAGGCTGCAGCCCCAGTTCCCCTTGACCACAAGCGGGAAGCGATAATCTGCTTCGCCCTCGGCCATGGCTCCCCTCGCTCCGATGCCGAGGCGGACTCCCGAGTTCCACTTTCGATTTCCTTTCTCCGCTCCAACTTGGCCGCGCCTCGCGAGAGCTTTACGCAACTTTTAGGCTTTCTCCAACCGAGCGCCCTCTAAAGCACGTTGAACTCACCAACACCCATCCCTTCTCCAGCCAATGCCGCTGATGGGAGTTGTATTGCAGATCACGCGAGGGCCAGGATTGGTTGCCTACTCTTGCGGGGTACAACCGTGGGAGCGGAGTCCTGTTGACCCGTAATTCCAATATTCAATATTCCAATATT